TGTAAATAGGACAAATATGACCTCTCTGTATTGTCCCCCTGGGTTGTTTAGGCTCTTTCTTCGCTGCAGGCTAAGACCTGTTAGCTTGAAAGCCCACTGACATCAAACTCAAATTTTTACTCGTGCAATTACTTTTAAAATAAAAGTTACTCTCCCCCTTGGGGGTTCCCTTGCCCTCCTACCCTTCCTTCCGAGTAGCAACTCTGCGGCTGCCATCCAGTCCGCTGTTGTGAGGGGTGACCCGGCGCGCAAACCTGGCGAAGCTTTGCCCCGAGGAGGCTGGTGTGTGCTACTGCCACCTCGTGGTTCTGTCTTTTTTCTCGCTCAGCCCCCAAATCCCTCCACTGTTCCACACGACCACACTCTGATTTCCCTCGGGTTTCTCATGGATTTCTAATCCATGGGTCTGGGGTGGGGCAGCATCCCATCTCCAGATATGGCCAAGCAGCATCCTCATCGTCCAAGATCAGAGGTTAAGGGAAGGGCGTGGGATCCAAGTTAAGTCCCTACCTTCCCCAGAGGCTATGTAGAAAGAGCTGCCACAGCGGCCACCCGCAGGAGGAAGCCCCTCAGAGGCCCAAGGCGCCAAAGCCTCTAGAACTCGGTTTCTCTCTCTCTCTTAAAACTGCCTTTCTCTATTTTGGCCTCATCCTTAAATGGACTAAAGAAAAAGCGTTTCCCTATTCTTCACAAGAAGAGTGAAGTGTGTCTAAAAGGCAGGCAAGGCGGGGGGCTGGGAGGGGGGCGGGGATGAAGTCCAGAAGACAGGGGAGAGGTAGATTTTAGGAAGGAAGGAAGGAAGGAAGGAAGGAAGGAAGGAAGGAAGGAAGGAAGGAAGGAAGGAAGGAAGGAAGGAAGGAAGGAAGGAAGGAAGGAAAGAAAGGTGGGAGGGAGGAAGCCATGGGACTGATGTAGATAATGTCAATGAAAGGAAATGGAATCTTTGGAAATATTAGAAAGATTTTTATTTATGGGCTTTGCTGAGAACTATTAGCTTGAGAGCAGAGCTTCAGGAAGCTTTGAAATAGTGCTCTAACTTTTGGAAAGGGAAAGGGGATGCTCACATAGGCAGAAGAATAAGCAAAATGTGCATCTGAAATATCAGTTAGGGTACATTCAGTTCAATGATTAACAGTTTTTCATTAAAACCATTCTAATAATTGTGCAGAGAATATGATTCATCCCTTTGGTGATTTAGAAGCAACTATGAACATCACAGTTACTCAAATTTTTAGATTTATTACATTTCAACTAGATATATATAGATATATAGATATAGATATAGATATGCTTATATATTCTCCTCCTCGTGTTTGTGTGGCATGGTATATCTTTGGAAATTATGCCACAAGCCAATTCAAACTGATGTGAAACTTGATGATACTCATCTTGTATTTATTCATTTGTCTGAGAATTATAAATATACTAATATAGAAATTATTTGAAATGGTTTACACTGAAGAAAAAGTGCAGATATTAAATGGCTTGTTTTATGGTTTATTACTTTTTAGATGCAGTGTCCAGGACCTGCCAAGATCCTTTGTGAAAGTTGACTGAATGAACCCAAAACACTAATTCAAAAGACTATAGGCACCCCTATGTTCATTGCAGCATTATTTATGATAGCCAAGATTTGGAAGCAGCCCAAGTGTCCATCAGTAGATGAGTGGATATAAACCTATGATACATTTACACAATGGAATACTACTCAGCTGTAAAGAAAAGAAGAAGAAGGAAATTTTACCTTTTGCGAAGGCATGGATGGGCCTCAACAGTATTATGCTAAGTGAAATAAGCCAGTCAGAGAAAGACAAGAGCCATATGGTATCACTCATATGTGAAATCTAATGAACAAGCTGAACGAACAAGTAAAATAGAGATAGAATTATAGTTAGAGAGCAAGGCTGACATTTTCAGGAGGTAGAGGGGGAATTGGGGGGAGCTGGGGCATGGAAGGATTGAGCAAAAAAAGAGAAAAAAACCTGATGAGCTTGGACGACAGTGTGGTGGATGCCGGGGGAGGCAGGGGTTGGCGAGGTGGGGGAGCGCGCACTGGGGAGAAGTGGTGGTGGAAGGAGGCTTGACTTGGGTGTGAACACGTAGTACGGCGCACAGATGATGTGCTGTGGAGTTTTGCAATGGAAACCTGTATTACTTTGTTAACTAGTGTCACCCCAATAAATTAAATAAAAAGGAAAAAAATATTCGACTGTTCTGTGCAGGAACCAGACAGGTAAAGCCAGGTGAGCGCAGCTACAACTCACATAACAGTAGAGAAATGCACTTGACAATCAAAGGGAATTAAAACAGTAGTCTATTTTTTACAGAGCCAAAAATCAAGGCAATTAATTCTAAAAATCATAATAATATTTCACAGTTGGGAGAAGGCACATTCAGCCATCGCTGATGGCAGTGTAACCAGTAAAGAAAGCTTGCTTGATGAAGTCCTTCTCCACGTTTGTCAGGAGGGACAGAAGTGTTCACTTCTTTGACCCTGGATTTTCTCTCTGGGGTCTTAGAAAAGCTGGAAGGAAGAAAAAAAAGCTCAAGTTGAAATAACTTCCTTAATAATTTCTCCAAAATTACAATAGTGATTAAATAACTTGTGGTGTGTCTACAAGATAAATACCTCTTTGTGGGTGACCAATGTCAGTCCAAGTTTATTAGGGGAATGGAAAGACTCAAAGTGGTTTCTTTAAAAAGAAAATTCAAGTCAGGAGAACAAATGAACAAACCCTAAAACACACAATAGGGGCAATCGGGGATAAGAATAGTAACAGCCAACATGTAGCCAGTGCTTGGTGTGTGCTGGGTACTGTGTAAGGGCTTCACATTCACTAATTCACAGGGTCCTCGGAGTATCCCTGTGAAGCAGGTCCTACTATTTCCCCACGTTACAGGTGAGACACTGATGTACAGGTCATTTGAGTAACTTCCCCAAGGCCTCACAGCTGGTAAAGGGCAGGAGGATTCCGGAGCCCCAGGGAAGAGGATGGATGGACCTTCTCCCCACTGGAAACTTGTACGGTCAGCCCTTTCCTCCCTTTATGCTTCCCTGTGCCCCCTCTGCATAAAGTGTGCTTCCCAGACACGTTGATTTGCCAGCACTGCCCTCCCCTACATCCACATCCTCCCATCCTTCTGCTCCATTGACACCTCGCTTCCTCCCAGAAGTGCTGCCTGAGCACCCAAGCCATGGGCACAGCCTCTATTGTAAGTCTCAAGTCACTCCCTGACCTGAGTGTTGACTATCCAGGGTGCACCCTCAGAACAGTCCGTCCTCCAACATGAAGGGATGTTCAGACTCTGGCAGTTCATCCTTCTCCGTTTACTGGAAACTGAGACCTGGAAGGGAAAAGAGACCTGTCCAGGTTCCCACAGCTGGTCAGCACTTGAATACCTCACTCATTCATGGCTTCTCTGATACTCCTTGAAGCCCAGTGGGCCCAGGTGCCCCGTGGATGCTGGACAATGTTTTCTAATGACAGGACAGTCGAGCTGGAGAGGCTCACCCCCTGGGATGTGGCTACAAGGTCTGTGAGCATTAAGACACACCAGGAGGAAAGGCAGATGAGAGAGATAGAGAGAGAGGTGGAGGGAGGGGGAAGGCAAGGCAGAGATTGTCCTCAGGAAAAATCGATTAGCCTGGGAGTTAGGTCTGCTCTGCCAGACCAGTGAGGAGGATAGAACAGTCAAAAGGCTTCAGGACAGGGAGCAGAAATCATCTTGCCTGGGAACCAACTGGGCAGGGCTGGATACTGGAGTCTCTGACCTGGGCCACCGGGTGACGGAGGACAGCACCCCTGCAGCCCCTCAGGAGCAACTCCACAAGTGTCCCCTGATCCTGCTGTCCCAGGGTGAATCTGCCAGCAACTCCGGCCCCCCTTCCCTCTCATGACTTCTGGGTTAGATGGGACCTCGGGGTCTGAGTCAGGCCTGGGCAAGGGAAGGACTTCAGGGGTCCATGCTGGGAGACTGGGCACCAGGGTCCCCAGCTCCACTCACTGCTCTGCTCGCAGTGGGATCAGGAGAGAGCGCTCTTCTCTGAGCAGAGGAATCACAGCAAAGTCGCAGTTTTAGGGGCGATGGTCGCAGTTCACCATAGGTACGGCCAGAGAGAAGAGAGCACAGGCCTCCTGGGCAGGAGGAGGCTGAGGAGTGACCGCATTCTCTGAGCACAGTGGGCCAGAACAGATGGTGACCAGTCTGAGGGTTGTCCATCCCAAGTCTGGGTTCCAGGCTCCTTCATTCCCTCTAATCCACCCAGTCTCTCTGGCAGAGTAAGGAGAGGACATAGCTGGCTGAGGGAGCTAATCCTTGGAGCTAACATGGGAGAAGAAAGTGGGGAGCAATGATGGAAAACTTCAGATGTCAGACCTAGCAGTTTGCACGGCACCTGACAGGCACTGGGCAGCCTGGCAGGGCAGTTAAGCTAAAAGGAAGGAGTAGTCTCAGAATTCCAAGGGCCTTACAGCTCTGGCTTTCTCTCTCCAAGGCTGTCAATCCCAGCCTCCAGGAAACATGCTGAAGTCTCTGGGAGAAGACAATGTATGTCTGTCCTCAAGACCTGGGACCTCCAGCCTAGAGGGACACAAGCCCACAGACTCTACAGACAGAGCTGAGGCCTGGCATGCTGCCCTGCAGGTGAGAAAAGCCAACATCCCTCTACGTCTCCTTGTCTTGTGTCCTATCTCCTCCCATCCCACTCCACTCTGCCTCACAGCAGTAGGAAAGAAAGGGCTGCATTTTAGCTGTCCCCACCCAGAAAACATCATCCTCTGCTTTCCCATTCTCTACCCCTGCCTGAAATGCACTTCCCACTCCCAAGTCCCTAACTGGTGATCTCCTACTCATTCTTCCAACCCCAGTTCAAACCTCACCTCTTCTTGGGAATCTCCCCGCAGTCAGCCAAGCAGAGAAAACGGTTCACACTTTGTTCATAGAATTAGTGTAGTGCTTATTGCATTGTGCATGGCTGGAGGGCAAGGACAACAGCTGGTCTACCTTTTTAGTCCTAGAGACCAACACAAATGCCAGAGCCAAAGGAGGCACTCAATAAACAAACGTGAGATGTAGATCTGAGCTGCTAAGCTGCCACCTGTGGGCTCACGCAGCCTGATTCCAGCTAGAGCACTGTGTCCAGTACAGAAAAAAGCTGACCAAGCAGAGGGTGACCACAATGAAAAAGGACCTGAAATTGGTCTTATCAGAAAGAATATAAGGCACCAGGGTGTTTGAGTTACAGAAAAGAAGACTTACTAGATTTAGAATAAATTCTTTGGACCACTATGTAAGAAGCTGCAGAGAAAGCAGATTTGACATATAGCCCCCAGTGGGCATAACAGGAACCACCTGTAGAACTAGGTATACAGCTACAGCCCTTCAGCAGGGGACTGACCGGATTGCCTCTGGTAGCACCAGGGAACAGGGAGAAGCCACTAGAAGTTGATGGAGAGGGAACTAATGTCTGCTGAGCATTCATTCTCTGCAAGTAGTATGAACATTCTACTGAGTGCTTATACAAACACTACCTCATTTGATCTTGACGGCAACCCTGTAAGAAAGGAAAAATCCCCATTTTATAGCTGAGAAGAGTGGAAATGAAATAAAGAGAGGTCCATGTTTGCACAGCCAATCAGGATTAAAAACCAGGTGGCTCTGTATCACACAGCTGCCCGTCATGGTGGGGAGGGAAGGTCAGGGGCTCTGCAGAGGAGAATCCTGCACCCCGAAAGGGACAGATTAGAAAAGTGAAAGATCCTGGCTCTTCAACACTATGGACTATGTTGAAGGGAGGGGTGGGGTTGGGGTTAGTATAAGCAGATGAAGTCATGTCATCTAATGCGTAACAGTGATAAAGAAATAGAAAAACTAAAACTAGGGCCTATCAGGGGCTTCTCCTGAAGTGCCAGGAATGGACAAGGCAGTTGGCCCATAATCTCCTCATTTGCACCCTCCTTTTACCTCTGTTCTCACTCATTCCTCTTTAAAAGCCTCACTCAACAAATATCTATTGGATAAATTTTGTGGACAGATGACTGAGTGAGAGAGTGAGTGAGACGCAGTTCCTTCGCGCAAGGAGCTTCCCTGCTGAGGCCTGGCTTAGTGTGCTCTCCGGGGTTGCCCACAAACATGGCCCTGGCCAAGTGGGGACTGGACGAGCTGGTAATAGAACATTTCTAGAAGCTTTGGAGCAATGGAAAGAGAGTATGTTTTAAGGAAATGATTGAGGGGGGACAAAATGAGGGCATTGTTTCTGACATAACTGAAGTCACTTGGGACACTTTGAAGTTTTCTGCCAATGAGGTCAGAGCAAAGACAAACCTTGTCCCAGTGTCATAGGGAGACATTTGACCTTCATCCCTCTAACAATAGCCCCACACAATCCCCTGCTCCTGTCTGGATGCCCTCCCCCTCCCGCACCATACCGTGAGTGCTGCGTGGAACCCTATTTGTTCCCCAGCACCCAGTTCAAATCTTTGAAATCTTCCCAAACCCCTCCTGGCAGAATAATGGAGCCCCACTTAGTTCATAAAATCAGTAAAGCATGAAACACTCTGCTAGCTACACTAGGTCCAACTGTTTGCAGGCAGAAGTTAAGACTCACTCGTCTCTCTATTCCCCAAGTACCTAGTACAGGAGTCACCAGACTATGGCACAAAAGCCAGGTCCAGCCTCCCGCCTGTTTTGTGAGTAAAGTTTTACTGGAACACATCCATAGCCATTCATTTACATATATCAATGGCTGTTTTCATGCTACAACAGCAGAGTTGAGTAACTGAGACAGAGACCATATGGCCCACAAATCTAAAGTATTTACTATATGATCCTTCACAAAAGTGGTTTGCCAGCTCCTGAGCTATCACATCATATGTGGTGAATAAGTGAATGCAGCAAAATGTGCTCTGTGGGGGGATTTCAAGGGGTGTTCAGATGGCCTGGGTCCCAACTCTGCCCGTGAATTCTTGTTTGATTAAGCAGATGATTATGATAGGTAATAGATAGATAGATACATACATACACTTCTAAGTGCTTATTATAGACTAGATACTATGCTAACTAGTTTAAATTTATTATCCACTTTATCCTCACAACCAATTCCAGGGATAGGTACTAGTATTTTTTTTTTTTTTTCATAGAAGAAGAAACTGAGACTCAGAGAGATCAAACTACCTGATTGGCAGAGCCAGGCTCAGTCTGATCTACTCCAAAGCTTGAGACCACCCACTGCCTAGGACACCCTTCTGAGATTCAATTTCTTCATCCAATTAGGATTATTGGGTGAGCAATGTGGTTTTCAAGCCATGTTTAGCAAGCAGAAGTTTTACAATATTACATGGAACACCAACATGCAGAAGTCTACCTAAGATGCCAGAACTTAGGCCTGCTGCTCCATCTCACCCCTCGGCACTGCCACTTGTCACCCCATGGCCATGGCCAACCTCACTGCCACCCCCGAGTTCCTCCTCCTCGGCCTGATGGACAGCGCCAACGCCCACCCGCTGCTGTTCCTGCTCTTCCTCATCACCTATCTGCTCAACGCCCTGGGCAACCTGAGCATGGTGGTGGTGGTGAGGTCCGACGGGGCTCTCCGATCCCCCATGTATTACTTCTTGGGTCACCTGAGCCTCGTGGACGTCTCTTTAACCACAGTCACGGTCCCCAGGCTGCTGGCCAGCCTGCTCCACCCAGGCTAGGCCGTGTCCTTCCCGGGGAGCTTTGCCCAGCTGTACTTCTTGGCCCTGGGCGTCACCGAGAGCTACCTCCTGGCAGCCATGTCCCACGACCGCGCGGTGGCCGTCTGCCGGCCCCTACACTACGCCGCAGTCATGACGCCCTGGCGCTGCACAGTGCTGGTCGCCGCGTCCTGGACCCTGTCCCACCTGCGCTCGCTTCTCCACACGCTGCTCATCTCCGCACTCTCCTACCCACGCTCTGCTCTTGTGCTCCACTTTTTTTGCGACGGGCCTCTGATGCTGAGCTGGGCGACTTCGGACAAATGGGCTCCGGAGACTGCCATCTTCTCCAAGGGCCTGGCCGTGATGCTGACCCCGCTGCTGCTGGTGTCTCTCTCCTACGGGCGGGTCCTCCTGGCAATGCTGAGGATGAGGTCGGTAGGGGGCCGGCGCCGCGCCTTCTCCACCTGCGGGGCCCACCTACTGGTGGTGTCCCTCTTCGGTTCAGCCCTCTCCGTCTATTTCCGGCCATTGTCTGACTACTCAGCCCGCTACAACCGCCTGGCCAGCGTGGTCTATGCGGTGCTCACACCAACCTTGAACCCTTTCATCTACAGTCTTCGCAACAAAGAAGTCAAGGGCGCCCTCAAACGGGGCCTCAGATGGAGGGCTGCATCCCAAGAGGTGTGAGGCCGGTCTGGGCTCAAGGTCATTTCGATAATAAGGATTACAGACGCCCCCTCCCGGATTCTTTATTAAGCTTTCTAAGGCACTAGCAATTTTGATCCTGCAATTAAATATTAAATTAAAATTGTATCTGAAGCAAATGTGACAAAATGTTTACTCATAGGGATGGGTACATCCCCATGAATAAGCTAAACTCGTTTCTGCATTGTCTGAATGTTTAAAATAGTGTACTTTTAAATTTTGGAAAAAGGGGACCAAATAGGGGAGTAGGGAATAAGCCTCGTAGCTCATGGAGAAGAAGAGTGTGATCAGCTCCACACGGTGATGGAGAGGAGACTGAGAAGCAGCACAAACTCAAGAAGGTGTTAAAGAGGTTTTATTTGGGTGCACTACAATGTAGCCCATGCCCTTGTAGACTCCTCTTTTGGAAACTTCAGGAAAGATAGTTATTACCTTGGCTGTGTGGCTCAGTTGGTTGAGCGTCCTTCCATATACCAAACTGTTGCAGGTTCGATCCCCAGTCAGGGCACATACCTAAGTTGCCAGTTCAAGTTCAACCCCTGGTCTGGGTGTGTGTATGGGAGGCAACTGATGGATATTTCTTCTTCACATCAATGTTCACACATCTCTCTCTCTCTCTCTCTCTCTCTCTCTCTCTCTCTCTCTCTCTCATAACCATCATTTTCATGGGGGGGGGGGTCAAAAACAGAGGTAAACATAAAATTCTCCTAGACTACTGTTCAACCCAACCTCCACTCCCATTCTACTTATTAGTTCAATACTTCTCTTTCTCTCAATCTCTGCCCCCATCATTCTTCCCAGTTTTGAAACATAAGTAGTATCATTCTCTGCATATTATTTTGCAATTTCTATTTTCATGAAACAATATGTCTAGGAGATCTCTTATTACTACAAGTAGAACTTCATTTTTAATCTCATAATATAGAGCCCTATACTGTGGTGTTCCACAATTAACCATTCTCTTATTGATAAATTCTTATGCTCTTCCAATGTTTCACTATTACAATGGTGTAATGATAGCCATATATGAAAAATAATAAAAGGTAACATTTCTTGATTTGACTCATTTAAACTGCACAAGATTCCAAGGGGGGAATTATTATTCTTGTCACACAGAGAAGAAACAGGCTTAGAGAAACCAAGAAGCTTTCCCAAAGTCATAAGGCTAAGACATTCATCTTCTTCAGTGATTTTAGTCTAGTCAATTTTTTTCACCATTTTGAGTAAATTTTAGTAATATTTAAGTTCCTAAAATATAATCATCCCCACATTTTTATTTTTGGTTTTAAAGTTGTATATAGTATTCTCATGGCTTTAAATAGCCCTTCTAGCTGTTAATTGTGCTCCTTTTCCAGTCCTAGAGTTCTTTATTTATGCCTTTTTTTTGTTTTATGTGCTAACATTTTATCTGTTATATTAATATTTTCCAAAGAACCAACATTTAGTTTGTTATCATTCCTCTATTGTTTCTTGATTTTCAACACTAATTTTTCACTTTCATATTTATGAGTTCCTTCTTCCTATTTTCCTTGTGTTGATTTTGTTATGTTTTTCTAGATTCTTAAATATCCTCTGACTTCAGGAGAGTGGAGTCTCTGCTAACGTTCACTGTTGATGGAACTTGACATCTCTGCTCTTAGCATTAATGATACGTTACTTTTCTTTTGAGAAGGCAGCTGATGGCCTTCGCAGGGCTCTCTGGTTCTACTGATTCTCTTAAACTCAGCCATCTTCTGTCTGGTTCTGGGCTCTGACCTCCAGCAGCTGCTACAGGGCACCTTCACCCCTTACAGCCTCTGCAGATACGCTGGCCCTCAACTCCTAGCTTCTGTCTAGGCTCCACCAGGGCACTTAAGTACTTTTAAGATCTTGATAGCACAAGGTGGTTGAGAAGACTTGTGTTTGTGTGCATGTGGAGGTAGAGGTTGAATTTTAGACAGTTTTCTAGCTCAGCACTGCCATGATATGGCTGCCCCATGTAGTGGTGGGCTCTTCTGCAAAGCTACCTCCTCCCAGAGTAGCTGCCAACAAAGACAGGCATCTCTCACTGCCTTCCAAGTTCACTATGCCCAAAACCACTTGGAAGATCGTATCATTCCCTTTCCTAGTTGTTGGGGAGCAAAGGGCAGGGCCTCACACTAATATTTAAATTCTTATTAGAAACACTCTTATTTTACATTATTATTGAAGTGGTATGCAAAGTAATTAGAAAAGAGAAAGAGCAGAACTAAATATTTGAAAGGAGTATGCATAATAATCAATATTATATTATTTTTGATTATGTATCTTCAATAACCATGACATTCAACTGAAATCCTTATTAGAAAACAGTGAGAAGATTCAATAAAGTGTGCTGTTGTGAAGTTGATATACAAAACAATTAGTAACTTTTCTATGTACAAAAATAATTATATTTCCAAAGACACAATAGTAAACACCGCCAACATTTTTTAATGTAAAATACCTAGGACTAAATGTAGAAAGTAATATACAGATACCAAATTAAGAAATCTAGTCTTCAAGTAAGAAAACATGAATTAATGGAAAGACATTCCTTATTTATAGTTTGTAAAGCAACTGTGTAAATAGCCAACTCTCCTTTATAAGTTGATGTGATAATTCAATGTAAATCCAGTTAATTTCCCAACATATTTTTTTTGGTGTTTAACAAGATAGATCAGAAACATATCTGAAAGGATGTATGTGTTGGGAAAGCTTTTGGAAGAGAAGTATATTGAGAAGGGCTTGTCACACAAAATCTTTCAAGTGTATCATTATGAAGGCACACCTTATATAGTGTTAGTACATAAATAGGATGACATCAATATAATAGAGTCTAGAAAGAGACTCAAGTATATATGAATATTTAATACATTGTGCAGGTAGTTTTTAACATTAGCAAAGATGGAGACAACTAACTTGCTGGGGAAAGGAAAAAGAAAAAGAGGGTGATTGCCCTTAAGCCAAATTTCAGTCAGATCAAAGATAAAGATGTGGAAACTAATACAGTACAAGAACTAGGGGAAAAAGAAGAAATGGGATAATATAACTTTGAGATTAAAAAAAAACCCTTGTTAAACATGTTAAGAAAAAAGATATATCATGAAGTAAAAATCAACTTATTTACCCACTTTGAAATCACAATCTGCAGTAAGGGCAAAATACACCACTACTAAAGTAAAAAATACCACCTACAAGATAGATAACATGAGACTTTCCATACTAAGAAAACAGAAATCAACTCAAGACAGAAGACATGCAACACACCAAAGGCAAAGTGGCTAATCAATAGACAGAGGGGTTTGACCTCATTGACACATACAGAAATTCAATTTTAAAAAAGTAAAATCTTTTTTTCTATCAAGTTGATAAATACTTTGAAAGCAAAATGCCCAGTGTTGGAAACATCCTGAAAAAACAGCCATTCTCATTTACCTTCGGAGGGAGTTTACCTTAGAAGAACTCCATGGAAGCAGTTTGACAATCTCTACCCAATGATACAATGTTCATGTCCTTAAATCTAGTACATCTATGTCTAAGAACGTGTCTCTAGAAACACAGCACAAGTCCACCAAAAACATATGTACCATAAAACAAAATCTAAGCATTATTCAAAATAATAAAAAACTGAAAACAATCCAATGTCTGTTGAGAAAAGATTAAATAAATTACAGTTACTGCATCTACAACACTAGATAGCTTCTAGAAGAGTTACGTGTCCTTGTATGAAATGATGAATCCAAAGTGCATTTTATGTGAAAACAATGAGAAAATAGCATGTGTAATTTAGCCTTATTAATTATTATATACAATGTTAATCTGAATGTTTCCCAACTTTTAACCACCTTCATGGGAGGAGTAGAACTAGGGAGAACCTTCACATTCTACCTTATTACTCATTTCTTTGTTATTTAGCTGTTTTCTAGTGAGACTGTGCTATTTCTGTAATCAATAAAAGTTTTTGTAGAACAAATGAAGTCAAAGTTGTCATTTTTAAGAAAAATTATAAAAGGTAGGATTTTAAGGTATAAATTCATTTCAAGAAACATGAAAATGTATTCAAGTCAATATTTATTCTACATGCAGCAGACACACAGACACAAGGCACCAAACTAGGCACTCCTGAGATTACAGAGCACCCATCTTCAGGACACTTGGTAAGAGAAGAAATAAACAAAGCATCAAATAATTTTCAGCATCATATTCCAGAGGAAAAAAAATCTGGGAGTCATAAATAGATTCTAATCCTCTGTCATTATTTGTTTTACTTTTTCCTATCTATAGGTTACCATTTAATGTCTATAAATGAAACAATACATAACAAAACTCAATGGTCCATTACATATCAAATGATTTTAATTTGCAAGGGGAATTCTCATGCAAAATATAGATATTATCAATTTGTTATTAACTAACAAATTATTGGGGCAATTAAGAAAAAAATAACTTTAGATTGCGATTGATAAATAAATGAATCAAGAAACTCCTGAAAAGAAAATTAAGAACTGAGTAGATTAGCAAGAGGAGAAATGCTGACCCTGGAGAGTAAAATTATAAGATCATGTGCACAATGAATTAGAAGGCATTCTTCAAGGAATAAATATGTTTGGCAGAAGCAAAGTATTGAAGTGGCAGAGTAATTTTGATTTATTAGAGAATTAGGAACTACTGTACATTCTTTAATTACAATAAATACCTAGGCTGAGTGGTATTTATTCAAGATTGAATAATAATTATTCAACCAAGCCTCATGCTACATCACACCCAAGATACAGTGATAAACACAAGAGGCACAATAACCTTCCCTTAGTGATGTGTGGGGAAACTTCTCCTGGAAGGCTGTGGGGGCTACATCAGGCATGCTGGGCTTAGTTACTACTAGACCTTCAGAATACTACTCATCGTCATTATTCAATTTAGTGCTTGATAGCATACCTTAATCTTTAGAGTCACAATCTCAGAGAAAACTGACGTGTACATTTTGAAAAGGCTCTTTGCAAGGCCCCCTTTATGTCCTGATTCCTCAAGCTATAGATGAAGGGGTTCAGCATGGGTGTCACCACGGTGTACATCACAGCCATTATTGTCTCTTTAACAGTAGAATTGTTGGCTGAAGGGCACAAGTAGAGGCCAATGATCATCCCATAGAACAGTGACACCACAGACAGGTGGGAGCCACAGGTGGAGAAGGCCTTGCGGATGCCTCTGGCAGAAGGGACCTTGAGGATGGAGGACACAATTTGTGCATATGATGAAAAGATCAAAAGGAATGGAACAATAATAACAAGACCTCCCAAGATAAATATCACCATTTCATTTATCTCCGTGTCAGAGCAGGCCAACTTGAGCAGAGCTGACATGTCACAAAAAAAGTGGGGGATCACATTGTCAGCACAGAAAGACAGCCGAGCCATGAGCAGAGTATGCAACAAAGAGATGAAAGCAGTCAGCACCCAGGACAGCACCACCAGGGAGACACAGAGTTTGGGGCTCATGATGATGCTGTAGTGCAGGGGGAAGCAGATGGCCACGTAGCGGTCATAGGCCATGGCCACGAGGAGGAAGCTCTCCAGGTCTGCAAAAAGCAGGAAGAAGTACATTTGGGCCAGGCAGCCTGCATAGGGGATGGAAGGGTCTTGACTCTGCATGTTGTGCAGCAGTTTGGGGATGGTCACAGAAGAGAAGCAGAGGTCAGAGAAAGACAAATTGCTGAGAAACAGATACATGGGCGTGTGGAGGTGAGAGTCCAGCTGAATGAGCACGATGATGAAGAGGTTCCCCAGGACGGTCGTAAGATACATGGCCAGGAACAGGGTGTAGAACAGCTTTCGTTGATCCGGTTCAATGGGCAGGCCCAGGAGGAGGAATTCTGAAATGATAGTTTTGTTTCCCATTTCCATGTTGCTTTTGTTTCACCTTTGTAAAATTAAGAATAATTTGTATGACAGTATGAATTTATAAATGCACATACACACATATATATTCAGATTTCAGAACTTTCAAAAAAGATATTTTAAAATCAAATATCCATAAGTTTTAAGGGTTGGGTATTTTATTTGTCCTCTTCCAAATGTAAAAATAAATACTTACATAAAGAAAAACTATAAAAGCATGTGTGGTTACAGGTCAAATTCAACCATGTTCCAGAATTCTGTAAGACGGCTCCATAACTGCGCCATTGGTGAGGTCAGATCCGTGTGATCTGAAAGGAGGCAGGAGGCAGTCCTGCACATCGGCATGCCTCCAGCTGAGGGACGCATCACAGAAGAAGAAGAATCTATACCCAGATTTACTAATAATCTAGAAAAGAAGGAAAATAAATTAATAAAGCATTAAGCTGAACAGGATACAAAAAGAGAGACAAAATTAAAATAAATAGGGTTAAGTGATAAAGCTAAGATATATGTTAACAAATTAGAAAACATAAAAACAATAAAATCAATAACAAATAATTTGAGTTTGTGTTTTCAAGAGATCAACAAAATAGACAAAATTGACCAGTCTAATTTTTAAAAAGATAAAAATAGGTATTAGAACATTAGGATTAAGAAAAAGGATATAGTTACAAAGTCAAATTTTTAAATCTTTCTAAATCTTCTCAAATAAATAAAAAAAATCTGGGTGAGACAATTTCTTAGCAAAGACAAATTGAAAAAAATGGTTCAATAATATATATGGTGTCTAAATAGGTCATTAAGATAAATATTAAAGAAATAGAGAATGATATGAATCAAATTTTTAAAAAAAATATGAAATAAAATTAAAAAATCTAATAAATGTCCTGAGCCAACAATAAGCATTGAAAAGATGTTCAACATTAGGATTCACAGGAAATACAAATTAAAATCTTAAGATACTACTACACATCCACTAAAATGAAAAAGACTGACAATATCAAATGTTAGCAAGGATATTAAGCAATTAACACTTAATACATCACTAGTAAGAATGTTAAATAGTAAAACACTTCGCAAAATGTTTGCAATTTCTTCAAGTTTAACATTTACCTGCAGAAAATTCACTCCTGAAATACTCAAAATAAATAAAAACAAATGTCCCCAAAATGGTGCTTAGTCATCGCAGCTAAAATTACAAAACCCAAATGCCCATCAGCAGGAGAATGAATAAGCAAATTGAGGCATATTCATTTCAGTGACATACTGTGCAGCAATAAATGAAAAAGAATGAACCGTAATGATTCATACAACATGGGTAAATCTCAAAAACATGTATGTTGAGTAAAAAAATTCAAATTCAAAAAGGTATTGTATGATTCTATTTATATAAAGTTCCAGGAGCTGACAAACCTAATCTATGGTGGTAGAAACCAGACCAACCTAATCTATGGAGGTAGAAACCAGACCAGTGCTTACCTCTGGGCACGCATGGGTATTGACCAGGAGAGGGCGCGAGGGAAATTTCTGTGGTGATAGAAATGCTCTACATCTTGATGTGTGCAGTGGGTATATGGGTGTAAAACTCAGTGAGCTGTACACTTAAGGTTTGTATACTAGATATAAATTATGTTACAATGTCTTAAAATCCTTGGGCAGGGAGCTTTCTAGACTTTTCAAACCTTCAAGGAACAAATAATCCCCAGGCTCTACCTAAGACATTCTAGAACCTAAAATTAAATAGAATACTACATATTTTACTGAAGAAGGAAAAAAGAGACATGAGACATAAAATTATAGACCAATTCGACTTGTGGACATGGATAGGAAAATGAAGTGTAAAACACTAATAATTCCAGCTTTTCATATTTGAAATCAAACTAATATGTCTAATGTAAAAATATATGATTAACTCATCAGAGACAAAAAGCATTTAAAAAATATCAATACCAAATCCTGACCAAAGCTCAAAATAAAAGATTACTTCCTTAATATAATGTGTCAGGATTTGCCAAAATCGGGGCTGTATCCCTTCTCTGGAGGAGAGCGTGCTTTCATTCTCTAGATTGCGGTGAAGTGGAAATCCCAGGACTCCTTACTATCTGATCCTATTAAAGGATTTTGCTCTCCCTTTATTTATCATTAACTATAATGCCAGACGAGGGTTTTTCAACTGTTGAAACAGCTTCAGGGCCTCAGAGCTCAGCAGTGGGTTGCTTGTGCTAGACCTACCATCAAGTTCTCCTAACAAAAACTGGGTGACTTCGCTTTGGAACAGAGTGCTCCCAGGTCTCTAACAGCTTCACTCATGGCAGACTGTATGAACATCCAAACATCCTCTCCTTTTACCTTGTTTAGGACACTAATGGGACAAATCAGCAAGCAAGTCCCTCAGTACTGGTTGGCTTCACAACCTGTCAAACCTGGTGCTCATCGCATTTTGACGAGAAAAGGTGTTTAAGCACTTGATGTTTGCTCGCCACTCTTTGGAATGAATTTTCAACGAGTACCAAGGTACCACTCTCTTATTTTTTTTAAGATTTTTTTTGTTATTCTATTACAGTTGTCCCAATTTCCCCCCCACCTTTGTCATGCTCTGCCCATCCTACTCCCCGCTCCCACAGTTAATTCCCACACTGTTGTCCTGAGCAGGGGATTTGCCCTCTGCATGTTGTCCAACATCATTGCAGACATGAAGCTTATTTCTTGGAAGGGGCTTGGAGACATTAGCATCCTTGTGTAATCACAATAGCTGATCAGTTCTGACTAATTTAAGAAAAAAACACCATCTTTAAGTACAGTGTCTCAGGCCTCACATCGGGCACTTTTCTGAGAATTTCCAAACAGGCATAATAAAAAGATTTATCTTACCAAGAGTCAACATTACACATACTGATGAAAAATTTAAATTATCAAAACTTTAGAGGCTATCAAAATTAAGCATGCTGATTAATCTAAGGCAACAATGTCCACTAGCAATAATATGCAAGCCACAAATGTGAGCCACATATGTCATTTTAAAAGGAAAAAGAAACAGGTGAAATTAATCTTAATTACATATTTTTTAAACTAATGAATCCAAGATACCATCATTTCAACACATACTTAATATTTTAAAATATTAATAATATACAAATACCAGATGATCTCACCTATAAGTGGAACCAAACCAACAATACAAAGATGCAAGGAAAATAAGACCAGCAACACTGAAAGGAAAAGAAATCAACAGAGACAAGAGGGAAGGAGGGAGGGGGGGCAGGGAAAAGGAAGGGAAGGGGAAAGTCAAGGAACATATAGCAAGGACTCATGGACAAAACCAAAGGGGAAGAGCTGAGGGGGCAAGGGAAAGTGGTGAGGGGTAGGCAGAGACAAATGTATTTGAAAAAATAAATTTAAATAAAATTAAAAAAAGAAATAGGCTTTCAAATAAAAAATACAGAAAGATTTGAAAAAAACAAAATATGTACGTTAACATAATTTCAAAAAATAAAAAATGAATATAGGAGATTTGAAATGCTAATCAACAAAAAAAAATAATATACAGGGTCTGGCACAAATAAAGCCTCTTTTTATTACATAAAAATCTTTTATTACAAAATCATAAGTATGTAATTTGTAACATAACAATATCACACTCAAGCACACCATATGACATTTAAGGTGAAATGTTCAAATTGCTCTCCATCTCGTGTGAGACATTCACATACCCTACTAACCACACTCAATGACATTACTTTTGACAGACCCTGTATATTGTTCATCTATTGTCTTTAAAATCTAGGGTGTATTTTATACATATAGCATCTCTCAATTTGACTTAGCTATGTTCAAGCGCTCATAGCTACATATGGTATGGCTAGTGGCTACCAAATCGGACAGTCCAAACCTAAAGTATAGTTTCTCCATGACACATTCTGTGGCCAATTAAAATGAAATGTAGAAAAATTTTAAGCGAGTAGCAGTGCTGGAAAATGGAAAATGGTGCCATTGGCATGCCAGACTTTTGAGAATTTCTGGATTTGCCAGGAAAGGATTTCCAATGGGAGTCAGTTGAGGAAAAGTTCAGAGTAACTGGCTCTCACAGAACACAGTCATGGAAGGGACCATCTAGAAAATAAATGGCCCATGTCTCTCAGAAACACTAGAAAACTCCCAATTCAAAGAAGAAAAATTGGGTCATGGGGCCTTTGAAAGGTGGAAGAGGGTGCAAACAATCAACTCTGAAGACCACAGGAGGGTCCCAGATAGGAAGACATGAAGACGTGTTCACAATCCAAACCTAGCCACTGTCCCAGGTGTGTTTGGTTTCTTAGGTAAACAGGAGACTTTCCTGAGGCAGGTTTCTAATGAAGCCAGCGAGGCCCGAGGCAGACGGAAACAAAACTCTGGCAAAGGTCTGCTCACCATAGCAAACACAGCACAGAAGTCCCTAATCTGATCCTCCCTACAATGCTTCCTCTCCACTTCTATAGGGACTCTGGTCCCTGTGAGTCCATCATTGGAGGCTGGTGAAGATGGTAGACCAGGGAGCAGTGAGGAGCAAGCAAATCCAAGAGTCACCAGGATCCTTTTTGTAACTTGCAAAGCCAAGTGGTTGCTCCACCCCCACACATCCACCAGCGCCTGCATCCTCCTCACTGGTCTGCTTCCAAGCACTCCTACTCCAAACAAAGCCCATCTCCTGGTCTACCCAGCCATCTTATCACACCCCCTCAGCCTCCCAGCTCGGAGGATTTGGGAAGGTGAGGATGAGCCCAAAGCTGATTCAAGCCCATGTTCCGTGCCTGCCTCAATCTGGGGGCTGTTTAGACCCACAGGGGCAGCTCAGACTGCAGAATGACATGAAGGTCTGACTTGCTGAAGGTTAGAAGGCAATATGAGTTCTCTCACCACCTACAGGCACTAAACCCCGTCCCCCCAACACTTGGGATCCACTTCCTGACATTGGGAGCACTGGGAATACAGCTCTTCCACTTTGATTTCTTTGTAACTTAAATTAATATTAC